CTAGTAAACAATTAGATTATGAGCTCGAGATTTCTGTCCCGTGATAGTTGACGAGTGCGCAGTCTGAGTCAATTATCACGCATAGAAATCGAGAGTGAATAGCCTAATTGTTTTAGTATAAAACTACTAGTGGTTCAAAACTTTATCTTAATCATCTTCAAAGACATTTCGAAAACACAAAGAAGCGGCCTCCAGCGTACGCTGCTACGCTGCTCTGGCTGAAAGAATGCGACCTAAGACAACAACAATAGGAAGTGAGTAGCGTAGCCAATCAGAGAACGGCATTCGTGATAGAACACTAGCGATAAAACGCTAGTATAGACACGTTTCTCACTGGAGACGGCATTGAAAAGGGATTTATGATTCCAAAAACCCTATCAGATTGTAAAAAGTGAAAAATATGAAACATTTTTGTGTCTCCAAACTTTTAATTTGGCGCCAAGAATGCGTCGCCCGCGTCCGGCAACTCGTTCGTCGCTTGTCGAGTGTCGCCAGGTAATATAATAGTTGTGTTATTTTGAACAAAATAGTTTGCTCCGCGTCAAATTAAACTCAGAATTCTCGAGTTAGCTATTAATAAAGGCCAAAGCAACTTTAGATTTCCTTTTTATAGTTACGATGATTTTGATGTACCTGACACGATGAATGTGCACGGAATCTACGATACATCGGCTTCAATGTACACTTTTCAAGGAAGTGAAGAGTACACCACTTTCCTTCAGCAAGAGGCTGGCGTATCTGGCTCCGCATTTGGCTTTTACGCTGGTGTAAAGGAGGCTTGGGGCAGCTCTTCAGCTGAAACGAAAGATAGCTTTTTGGCGATACTTGACGTCGACATTGAAAGGTAAGTAGTTCTTGTTAATGAGGATGGTTGATTTTGTATTGATTCAAATTAAAATTACGATTATTATAGATCGCTTGAGGGCCAACAACAATAACTTTTCTCTGGTTGATAAAGTTTCACCAAGTGGTTATTATTTAAACAAATTTAAAATTGACATTGCAAACAACTCTGGAAGTTCTAACGACATCACTTCAGTTGCAATCACTTCGTTAGCAATGTTTGGCTAACCTATATCATGTTAAGCCAATTGGTATGTACTCCATCGTCCATCAACTTAGAGTATCGCTATTGCTCCGTGTTCAAAGTGTTGTTTGTTGTTTGATTTCAAGATACGAGATATTCATGGACGAAGTGAAGCCCAGTGACCTCAGTCTTAATTTTCTGCGAGAGTTCATGGAGTTGCCGCTATCTTACTATTCTCCAGGCGCTCCGATAAAGTATCGTAAGTGATATACAGCATTAACTAACTAACATGATTCACGCCTCAAGCTTATGCATGTCGTGGAATGTTCTTCACGACAATGAGGAAATAACATTTAACGGATCGATAGAGCGGCAGTGACATTCCCTCTTAACGATCCCCCACTCCATGACACTAAGCAGACGGTCAAGTCGTCGAATTTTTAGTCAGTATACAATGCAACGTTTTTCCTTTTTGTTATGAATCTATCATGGCTGAGTAGTGTCAAATTAACATGTCTTACCAAGAGACCATGATGGCCATAACCTTGGTCTTACTGGAGTCGAATTGCATTCTCTGATATGTTCATGTATGTAATACCCCATTCACACCAACTAAACTAGTTTAACTAAATCAGGTTAAGGTTTCCTGCAATTTGTCGATTCCGCTTTGCAGTCATTTTGAGAAGAAAAATTTCAAACCACCTTGCTATCATCTTTTAATCAAACAAATTTTACCAGGTTAACTTGACGGGTGTGCACGATATGAGCAACTAATTTTTAACCTTGTTTAGTTAAACCACTCTTAAATGCAATTATCATGTTAGTGTGAACAGGGTATTATAAGTCTATACATAGATACTATGCTTATAATCATTTTTGGGCCTTTCACTCTGATTAGTAATATATGCTTATAATTATTTGTTCACAGAGGACTTCGTTCAACGATGGGGAACTCATTACATAAAATCAGCAAAGTTTGGAGGACAGCTTCAAATTCGTAAAACCATGGATAAGGAGACTGGTCAGTCGAAGACGCACTTTTCAATAATGATGGAAGCCGAATACAAGAGTCTTTTCGCAAGCGTTGGCGCCAGTGCTTCCTACGAACAGGGTTCTGGATCCAATAAGGCAACTCAGACTACGTCCACATCGGTAGTGGCCCAGGGAGGAAGCCATGAAATTGCTTCAATCTTGTCTGATGTATACTCACCGACATTTAAAAACGAATTCAAACACTGGCTAACAAGTATTCCCTCGTACCCTAAGCCTTTCAAGTTTCGCATGAGTCCCATTACTGACCTGGTAAACTTTCGCGCAACCGATCTATTCCCAGAGGAAACTGTTAATTGGGGCTGTGAAGGTTACGTCTCGGCGCTAAAATCAGAGAAAAATGAAGATGGAGAAGAAGTGAAATACTATGAAATTACTGAGGGCGATGAGTTAAAGAAGAAGGTGTACTGCCCCTTTGAGGGGCGTGGTGGCTTGGAGCAGGCAATAAAAAGAAGACGATCGAGTCTTCACAGAGCCATTGAAACTTACATGGAAGAGGTATATATTAAAGTCTTTTTTTTATTTCACATTTCTTGCTGATCGATCTTATATAGTGTATTCTTGCATCAGCAAGCATCAAGATACAGATAGCAGCGTCGTATTACGGTGCCAATTCTTAAGTTCTTCATTACATTGGAAAGATCGGAGAGCTCCTTCACTAGTTTTTCCAAAGTTTAACGACATCTTAGCTCAAGGAAGAATAATTCCTGAGTAATTCCCCACTGATTTTTTTCCCACAGTTTATTTTTCCCAGTTTGCTTGCCGGCTTCCTTGCTTGCTCAGTTACTTGATTGCTTGCTTGCTTGCTTGCTTGCTTGCTTGCTTGCTTGCTTGCTTGCTTGCTTGCTTACTTACTTATATAACGACGCTTTTAACTCTATCCATTCGTGCAACCCAAACAGATACCTTGATTGCCTCTCTCACGAACGCCCTTAATGATACTAAAATCCTTAATCTACACTCCGACTGACAAGATGATGAATATGCTCGCCCCTTTACGAGGGAATTTCCCGCAACACTTGACTTACCAGTGCATATTTGACACCTGGGAGTAAATCATTGGAAAATCATCGGAGCTGTGGCTTGGTACATTTCAATTGCAGACATAAACGTACTAATACCGTAACTTTAAGTCTATGTTTGATAAAAAAAAATCTTTCTTACGCAGGGCACCATTTCCATCTCGGATTTCAACCTCAAGTGTAATTCTGAACCTGCAACTGAGGTAGCCACCGACGCTGTGTCAGAACCATCAAGCCGCGCACTGTTTGCGCTAAATGATAGCTCAGATTCAAGAGAATTGTTAAGAGTCAAAGGTGTACCCACGTGGAAATCATTGATAACAACCAGGATGCCGGTCAAAGTCATAATCGACATGAAAGAAGACTTGAAAGATTCCCAGCACGGAGGCGTGGTGATTCCTAAGAATATGGTGCGACGCATTCGATTCCTTGACAATCGTTGGTTCACTGATGACGAGAAAAAAGTTCTTCACCTTTACAATGGCTTTAACAATGGAGGTAGTGGTGACCCTAAAAACAAGAAAATTTCCGTTCTTGGTCTGGTGCTGAGCTTCGATGAAAAGACAGGTCGACTTGTTCTTACTGACAGCGACTTTAAAGCGTCCAAGAAAATCTTTCAAGGTTTAAATTCTAACATGAGGGGCTCTATTATTGGACAAGTTGAGGTTAACCGTGGAAAAACAGTTAAGCGTCGCTCAAAGTTAATGGATGCCTCCGCTCCTGCTTCCGCTATTAAGACATGTAAAGTTATGTTTTCAAATGCGTTGCGCTTTGATCCAAAAGGAGGAAAATGTCTACATTTCACGGCGATTTCAAGTGGAACTATCTATGTGATGTTTGCTGTGTCTCCAGGAAAACCGCATTCGCAGTACACTGTTCGAATAGCCAGCGACAGAGTTGATATATACAAGGTAGCGTGAAGTTATTTTGTCGCTCAGTTATTTCAAATTTTAGCTTTAGTCACTTAATTGGTGGAAATATTACATTATTAGATGATTGCAGTTTCTGAATTTGATGTCTTTGATGTCTTGAAGTTAGCATAGGTTGCAAATAGGTTATTACCAATATTTTAATTCGCCAGAAATGGTTAAGCCTTTTTACTAGTATTGTTTGAAAAACAATTTTCTCTCTGCATGCGTTGTCATCGAGTCGGCATTAAGTTTCTTCTTTAGATATTGAAAGAGGTTTCCCTACTTGCTAATCTAACTATTCCACCAAAGAAGGTATTTACAGCGCCGATGAGATTCAATGACGATTAGCATAGTTTTTAAGTTGAACAGTCACCGAAAAGGCAGGAGCAAATTTTGGGGCCGGAGGGGGTATATAGAGGATGGATGCTACAGGGGTGATTACTTTGAATTGAGCAACTCGTTTAGTTTTCAAGCATTTCATATATGTGACATTATCAGTTCTTCCAAAATAGTATATACAAAAACATGTCATTTCAGGGATCAACGTCAAAGATATTCATCGAAGATGAAAGTGCTGTTGGTATTGGTACAGAATCCATACACCAATCCTACTTTGTCTGCGTAACAGAGTCGAAAGAGGCTGTCCGCATCGAATACGGCAAAAGCCAAGGAAGCTCAGATGCTGGGGACGTATTTCTTAGTTTCGGAGACGTCGCAGAAAACGGGTCTGATCCACCACTAAGCGTTCAGTTTTACGCATTTGGTATCGAAGACGTTCCCGCTAAGATAATGGATGCCCATTTGCTGCCAAGAAAGCTGACCGATGCAAGTTGTAAGGGCCGCACAAGGGAGGACAATCCAACCGGCTTGTGCGCTGAACAATGCCACTTAAATTGTGATCCAACCGCAGGTAAGATAAAGGTTCATATGTTCCGGTAAGACAAACAAGTTCTATACAAACAGAATCAAATGAAACATGTATGTAAGGCTGTTTCCTATTTTCACTGTTCAAGAGAGTGAATTGAGCTGATGCACCAATCTCAGAGTAAATGTACATGCAATATACTCTGTCGGATCGATCAGAAGTTCTGGGAAATTAATTACTAGCTGATTTCGTGAAGCCTACCTCTGTGCTTCGCAAAACGGGCTTGGGCTTCGTGAAACCCTCCTCCTCCCATATTCCTAGGTGTCTAAGCTTCACTCTCGGGAGTTCCCTCAACATTAGCATTGGCATTGGCAGTGCAACGTTTGATTAATTATCGCAAGAAGAGACGCAATAATCTCTTTAGTTGTGGGGCTAGCTCTGCAAGCGAGAAAAATGA